AGCCATCATTGTTGTTTGGCGGGCCCTGGCTGGATTTGAACCCGCCACCTTAGGTGTATGTGGCTGGCGCCTTAGCCACTTGAGCCACAGGCACCGAGCCATGTTCAGAAATCTTAACGGAAGACTATGGCCACATGATGTGGCCCCACCACTCTAGATTAAGTCATCTTTTACACAGAAACAAAAAAGGTATTTCTACTTCGAAGAACTAAATTTAATGCCTAGGAGTCTTTACAAATTCAAAAGTCAGCATAAGGAATTAAATAACTTTATTTTATTGTACCAGTGGTTGACCCTCAGGAAAAAAAATAGCTTTTGGACATTTAGAAACAGGCCTTTCATATGCACTTCCAATATACAGAGAATGGTTAAAATGCCTTCCAACAGGCTGACATGTGTTTTCAGTTTGGCCATGTTACCCAATATCTAAATTGTTAGAGTCACCAAGTTTCTCCTTAGCATTACAAGCCTAAAAGTAAACAATGTGTCTGACTTGAGAAACATCCTCTTACAGCCCAGATGTTACTTGAAGGGGGGGGGGAAAGTAAGCTGTTAAAACAGTGGTGCTGACACCAAACGTGGCATTTGGATGTATGTGGAATTCCATCTCCCAGCGCCTTGCTTTGTGATTTTCATATGCCCTTTGTGAGAGTTCCAACTTAAACAACTGCCCCATGAGATTTCAGGGCTGGAAAAAAACTAACAACCCGGAATCTTAGAGACTGTTTACAATAAACAGCTCTTGGTTTCTAGGGATATGACAGCTCCCAGTTTCCTCCGCAGAACCTTGCTTACAGATTTCTCAGGGATGAGTTACTGCCCACTGGTGAAGTGAGAGAGAGAAAATTTAAACAGAAGATTTCAAATTAAACACAGCTGGGACTTCCCGAACATCTGTGCGTTGATTTCCTCTCAAGTTGGTTTCAGAGAACACGTATTTTGTAAAGGTTAACCAGAACCAGAGTTTTTTTTAATCCAAAGTTAAAGCCATTATTATCTTATTATATATTAATAAATTGAAGTTACCTTTAAAATCACTATCTTGAAGATGTCAGTTTTTAAAGCTCTGGTGCCATTTCTTAAACTTGTCTAGTAAGAATCAAGTTATTTGTTGAAAATACAAATTCCCTGCTCCATGTCACTCCTACTGGTCAAAGTCGCCAGCTAAACAAAAAAGTTAGCAGGATGCCCGTAGTCCTGGCTCTTCCAAAAGCTGGGATGGTAGATAGTTTCAGCTCAGGATTCTAGGCTGCAGTGAGCTATGATTGCACCACTGCACTTCAGCCTGGGGACACAGTGAAAGCAAGACTGTGTCTTTAAGGTAAAAAAAAAAAAAAACAACAACCTCCAGCCAACGAATCAGTATTTTAATAAGGGCTCCAACAACTGGGAACACAAACAAGTTTGGAAACATTGGGTTTGTGCTATTCATAATCTGTAGTACATTCTGCACGGGATATAAGCATTTTATAAAATAACTGTTCTCAACTTCGGAATCATCTCGGGAGTTTTTAAAAATAATGGTGCCCAATCCTTCCTACCCTCACCCTGAGACTCTGATTAAACTGGTATAGGGTGCAGCCTAGACACTGGGTTTTTATTTTATTTTTTTATTGAGACAGAGTCTCACTTTGTCACCCTCGGTAAAGTGCCTAGTGGTGTCATAGCTCACAGCAACCTCAAACTCTTGGGCTCAAGAGATTCTCTTGCCTCAGCCTCCCTAGTAGACTAAAGGTGCCCACCAAAACATCCGGCTATTTTTTTTTTTTTTTCTGTTTAACAGGGCTGGGCCAGGTAGGAACCCACCAGACCTGGAACATGTGGCGAGCACCCTAACCACTGACCTACGGGTGCCCAGCTGACACTGGGTTTTAAAACATTGTTTTCTTTTTAATTTTCTGGGCACATAATAGTTGTATATCTTCCTAGAGTACATGAGATGTTTTGATACAAGCATACAATGTGAATTAATCAAATCAGGGTAACAGGGGTACCCATCACCTTAGGCATTTAACATGTATTTGTGTTATTAACATTCCCACTCTAGTCTTTTAGGTACTTTAAAATACATTTGGATTTGTAAAAGCTTCCAAATGATTCTAACGTGCAGCCAAGGTTGAGAATCTTTGTAACAATATTTACCTGAACAAGTGACTGATAAAATTACTCTGCCTCAAACATCAATAGTTGCTATCAAACCTACTAATGCTGTTGGAAAAATACTGAAAGGGTGTTTTCCTTTTGTTTCTAATTAGCAATATTCTAGAAGGACAGTAGCAGTTTTTAAAATTAAGATTTTAAAAAATATTTAAATAACTAAAACAAACGGATAAATTAAAAGATGACTGTGGCTGAGTGCCGAGGGAGGGAGGGAGACCATTATCACCTGGAATGTATTTTAAAAACCCTAAAACTCAGTAAAAACAAACAAACAAAAATCCAAACATCATAATGGAAAAATGAGCAACAGAAATCAGCAAAGGGCATTTTGTAGAAAAAGAAACCCCAATGGCCTAAAAACATGTGAAAATATGCATAATTTATAAGTAGGGAGCTGCAAATTAAAACCACAATTAGGAGGTGATTTTATTACCTCCTAGACTGGAAAAATTAAAAGAGGAAATCTGCTCATACCAAACTGTGGTAGAACACCAAGGAGCACAGACTCTCACAGACCCACCGCCACTGCGAGGGTATGTTGGCACAGTTACTATGGAAAATAACTTAGCATTATCTGCAAAGCTAAAGAGGCACAGCGCTTACCACCAAGCCATTTCACTCTTGAGGTATGTGCTTTTATCTCGAGAAATGCTTTTCACGGGCACCAGAAGACATGCCAAAGAGTGAGCACAGTACCACTGTTCATAATAAAGTAAAAAGAAAAGAACCAGATGCCCATCAGTAGATGGTATAATTTATACATCAGAAAACTCTTTTATACTCAATGCAATCGCTATCAAAATATCAGAAAATCGCTATCAAAATATCAGAAGTTTTTCTTGGTTTGGGGGAGGTACAGACAGGTAAAAATTGATACGCTAATCCCAAAATTCATGCAGAAATGCAAATAACACAAAATAGCCAATTTTAAAAAAGAACAAAGTTAGGGCAGTGCCTGTGGCTCAACGGAGTAGAGCGCCAGCCCCATATGCCAGAGGTGGTGGGTTCAAACCCAGCCCCGGCCAAAATGGCATTAAAAAAAAAAAAAAAAAAGAACAAAGTTAAAAGTCTTTTTTTTTTTTTTTCGACAGAGTTTCACTTTATCGTCCTCAGTAGAGTGCCATGGCATCACACAGCTCACAGTAACCTCCAACTCCTGGGCTTAGGCGATTCTCTAGCCTCAGCCTCCCAAGTAGCTGACACCACAGGCACCTGCCACAACACCCAGCTATTTTTTGGATGCCGTTTGGCTGGGGTCAGGTTTGAACCCGCCACCCTTGGTATATGGGGCCCGGTGCCCTTACTCACTGAGCCACAGGCGCCGCCCAAAGTTAAAAGTCTCAGCAAGATAAATATACTACATGTTCTCACTCACATGTGGGAGCTAAAAAGAGCTGAACCCATAGAAGGAGAGAGAAGAATAGTGAAGGTTAGAGGGTGAGGAGAGTTAAAGGGAAAGAGGACAGAAAGAAGTTAGTTGGTTAACGGGTACAAAATTACAGCTAGACAAAAGGAGTACGTTCTAGTATTATACAGAGCTGTAGGTTCACTACAGTTAATGGCAATTTATTGTGTATTTTCAAATAGCTAGTAGAGAGGATTTTGAATGTTCCCAACACAAAGAAATGATAAGTACTTGAGGTGATGGATATGCTAATTAGCCTGATTTGATTATATATTGTATGCATGTACAGAAATATGACTCTGTGCCCATAAACATGTTGGCTTATTATACGTCAGTTTAAAAAACACACTATGCTAAGTGAAAAAAAAAAAAGCTGCATGAAAACCTTACATAGTGAATGATACCATATATACCCATGAGATGCCCAGGAAAGGCAGATTTACAGCAGACCAGCGTTTTCCAGGGCTGGGTGTGGCAGCCGGGTTTGATCGCAAACGGGCTTCAGAGAATTTTCAGGAGTTACAAAAATATTCTAAAACTGGATTGTGTGATAGTTACACAATGCTATAAATTTACTAAAAATCACTGACTTATTTACAAGGGGTTAACTTTATGATATGTAAAATATACCTCACTGAAGCAGCCACCAACTCCCCACCAAAAAGAAACTTTACTACGGAGCAAATAAGGTGAACCGTTCTCATTTCCCCAGACTCCGTACCTGCACCTGTTTTCTACATAAAGAAGGCAGTCTTTAAAATACTGTAGAATTGTTACTATTAACCAGACCTGGAGTTAATCACACATTCTTATGATTATTTTGTTTGAGAAAACATAAGTCAAATCTCCTCCAGATGTAAAACATTCCGAAGCCCGAGCTCTATGCACTACAGTAATCTATGGAGAAATGCTGCCAGGGAAAATATTTTGAAGCAGCACTTGTTAGTACAGATAGTTTCTCACTCGAGCCACTCAGCAAGCAACCTTCATCATGTGCTTCCAGGATGAGAGGACCATTCTTCGTGAGTATTTACTTTGTAAACTAACAAAAGTGACTGAAGAGAAACGGGCTTGGGCTTGCCTCTTATCATGAAACGCCAAAAAAAATCACCCCTGCCATATCAGAAGTCATCTCAAAGGACTTCGAGTGTCCAGGGCAAAGACTCCAGGGCTCTCCTATCTCTTAAAAGACAGGTGAGAAAACAAATGTCACATTACCATGAATTGAATGAGAATGGGATCTGTCCTTTTGAACTAAAATGGCTGTTCAGATAGCCTTTGTTAACTCTGCTCCAAAAATGAAAATGTATGAATTATTCCCTTTATAGTGTACTTCAGAGCATATTTAGCCACGATAAGAAGATCTTCAGGGCCAAGAAACCGAAGAAGCTGTTTTCTGTATGGGACTTGCTCTTGTGATCAAAGAATTATCATTGGATCAACAAATTCATCAACAATAAAAAAATGCAATAACCTCTCCTAACACTGCAAACTTCTTTTCCTTGTCATGTAATTATGCAGAATATGTCTTAAAAATGCATTTGTCATCTCAACACAGTCTTTGTGGCCTCCCATGGAAAAAAAATGCACTTATCAAGGACATGTGCCATTAATCCCAAAGATATGTGTACTCAAGCCAATCTGGTCAAGTAAACCCCCAAAACCGTTACTCAATCTCTAGTATGCACGAGTCATAAATGTGTCAGGGGTTGTACTGTAGCCAATTTACTACACAACCCAAGGGTATCATTAATTCTGTATCCTAGAGTGCATGACGCTTTCTGGAATTATGCAGTGCACAACCTGTGCAGATGTATATGGTGGACCTGAAGTTCATAATCATGGCTATCAGAGTGAGCATAGAAAGAGATGAACAAAGAAATGATGGTAAGACCTCGAAGGTAGGCCTCTAAAAACCTTAATTATCCACAAAAGGAGTTTTATACAGGAAGTTCTGGGACAGGGGAAAAAAAAAAAAAGATCACTAGACCAGACCTGGATGACTATTTTCAGAGCCTTCACTTTCTGGTCTGAGGCCCAAGCATCCTTCAGTGATTGGTTGAGCTCCTCTATGCGGTTCACATAATCCTGTTGAGTCAAATTCAATAGCTCCTTCTGGGAACCCTGTGGGGAAAGAGGAGAAAGTGAATGAATACGAGGAAAAACTATGTTCCACCATCACCCCCATGAAGAATATTGGGTATCAGCTGAGCTTTAGTCTCTAAATTTTCCTCATATCCCCACCAGATTCTTTGAGTTTTCTGACAATGGTAGGCAGAGTATAGTAGTTAATAAGACTGGCTAAGGAGGCGAGTCAGACCTAAGCCACCTTCCCGCTCAGCCACTTACTAGCTATATGCATCTGGGTTTGCTGGTTTCTTCCTTGCACCCTGTCTGCAAATCAAGATAACAGGACTTACCTCATGCAACCAATTTGTATTGGGCCTACTGTGTGCCAGGCAGGGTACTAGATGTTTTAGATATAAAAATATTTTTGTTCAGGATTCCCAAGCCAAGACATAGCTAAGCCTTGAACAACACAGGTTTAAATGTACGGGTCCACACACATGCAGATTTTCTTCTGCCTCTGCCCCCTGAAATAGAAAAACCAACCCCTCCTCTATCTCCTCCCCCTCAGCCTCTCCTCAATGTGAAGACAGCGAGGATGACACTGCTATTATGATCCAATTCCAGTCAATCAATAATAAATGTATTTTCTCTTCCTTGTGATATTCTTAATAACATTACTTTTCTCTAGCTTCTTTTATTGTAAGAACACAGTGGATTATACAAAACATGCAAAAAGTGTTAATCAACTGTTATGTTATCAGTAAGGCAAGCTATTATTAACGTTTTTGGAGAGACAAAAGTAAAACTT